TTGTGCTGTAAGTCAGCTCCTTATCACACACCATGCACTTCACCTTTGATATGAAATAACATTAATATAAAAAGATGTGACAGTACGGGCATCCCATCACTGACACCTCCAATTTATAACACACCCTGGCTACCTGTCCACAAAGATATTCCTTTGGCTGACTGGTTAGCGCGCCTGACTCTCATGCCAGAGATATTGGGGTCAAACCCCGCCCAGGCCCTCAACAATCACCATTTCACAATAAGCTTTTACCAGTGCTATATTATTGAAAGGCAAATTTGCTAGCAGGCCAACAATTATTGTTTGATTCTTGCTGCCTTTGTGGATATTTTAAATAAGAACTCAACAGCCTTCCGAAGCGTTGTGAAATTGAGCCACAAGTTACTGTTAATGAGCACATTCTATTTCCAGTTGCTATTGTATGGGAAAGTATCACTGCTACAAAGTCAATGGAGAGCGTTTCTGTGTAAGGAAATCTACTTCTGCTAAAGGACAGACTTTCAAACAATCACATCTGTAACAACCAAACATCTGCTAAAACTATGACCTCAGATAAGCAATTCATAATTTAGATATATAAAAAATGATAATATTGTTTGCTGTGATGCGGAGCTATAAGCCAATGCAACAGTATATCCCTCAGTTAATCCACACATTATTCACCTTATTTTGAGCGACCAACTCAAAATATTGCCACACTGGTGAAGACTTCCTTTTTCTTGCAGGCTCCATCTGTAAAAGTTATATTGTTGGTGTTGTAACGTCTAGCAATGGTCAGTTTAGGTATAGTCTGACCTTTCAACATCTATTCAACATCTGGTCAGAAAGGAGACACAACACTACATGTGTTCCCTTTAATCAATCAATCAATCAATCAATCAATCAATCAATCAATCAATCAAAGATACTTTATTAATCCCAGAGGGAAATTAGAGTTTCAGTACACACAATTCAGAGATCAGACATACATGGGCAAGACACATGACAAGAATTGGTGACTGTGGTCATTCGCAACCCTGAGTCGCGCTACCTTAATAGAGATAAGAGGGGTTTACATGAGGGTTGGTTCAGGTGGAGGGAAAAAATAGAGGAACTTCAGAGCTACTCTCCAGCAGGAGGGCAGCTTTGCTTTGCAAAAAAAAAAAAAAAAAAAAAAACACCTCAGACAGAGATATGCAACAGACTTCAGACAACACAGCATAAGTGTCCACTAGGAGGGGTGGTAGGTTGGGGCTATCCCAACTTCAGTTCCTGCAGTCACGATGAAGCAGCGCATGTTACCTCAGTGTGGATGGGGGGGCGCATTGAGGGTTGGAGGGTTGCAGTGACCCTGGACGCTTCAGCAGCCTTCCCGCTGTCCCGCCCAGGCTGGGAAAGGAGGTAGAGTTGAGTTGCCATAGCGACGGCACATTCCACATATCTTCTGAGGGGGGAGTTTTCGTTGGAGCCTTGCAGGCTCAAGGACGCCAGATTCTGATCAGAAATTGTTTTGGGCTAAACAGAGATAATTTCCTCTCTGCCTTACAGTTTGTTTTTGGTCCTCACCTCTCCGAATCCCAATAGTAATGGATGTGAATCTATCCCAATCCGTGCTGATTCGTCCACTCTCTCCTTGATGGCATCCATCTTTTGTGCCAAAGAATGAATCTCCGCCAAAGTCCCAAGCTTACGATTCATCTCAACAATTATGTGAGTCTGTGACTTCACAGCGCTGTGCAAACCATCTCTGAGCTCCGGGATCAGGCTGAAATTCCCCGACAGCTCGTTAATTTTCTGGTAAGCCAGGTAGCCTCCAAGGCCAATGAGCAGGAAACCTGACACCAACACCACAAATATCCATACATCTTCAGAGTCCTCCACCGACAGCTGAGATAAACAGATCAAGTTCCACTGTTTCCAGGAGTCCATGATGTGTCCAACTGGGTCTGTACCTGCAGGACATCCGGGAGCCCCTTCTCCCGTTCTCATTGTTGAAAAAATTTGTATAAATCGCGTTGAGAGACCAGCTAACGAGATCCATTTAAATGTATTTCAGTTTCCAGTTTCCAGAAAAATGCAGAAGCAGCCGTGCACCCAGCATACAGAGACAGACAAAGGGCCTTGAGGATAAGATATGGAGGAGAGGAGGAAAAAAAGCGTCTGCACCCTCCAAGAGCCAGAAGAGAAAGCCTGCCTTCATACCAGCTGGGACTCACAGACTCTGCAAGTCTGAAAGATAAACAATAACTTTGTTTCCCAAAGTTCAATCTGTCCGCCTCCACAGAAGGAACAACTCCAGCTCGAATCAGTTGCTAAAATCAAGAATGATTTCCTAAATCAATATGAACTTCTTCCATGACTCATAATCTAGATAATCATTAAATAAACATTTGTTTATTGCTACTTATAATAATTATATAGTAATGAAATGCTTAATTAAAGGGACTTTACGGAGTTTTGAATTTTTATGCTCGCGATTGCCCCCTCTGGCCAAAAGCGTAACGGCAGATTCAATAGGAGGCTCGTGCACGAGGCGTGTATGCTGTACGTGCACACTCCTTAACAAAAATAACAGCTGAGATGAAGCGACGGGGGTCAGCTTCACAGAGCTCTGAGAGCTGACAGTCCCGTGTGTGTGTGTGTGTGTGTGTGTGTGTGTGTGTGTGTGTGTGTGTGTGTGTGTGTCCGTGTCCCGAAGAACAGAGGGTAGGAGAACGCGCAGCTAATTAATTAAATAACTTGGTTCCTTTCTCTTCAGCACAGCTGACAAAGGTTTATGATGGTTCAGTCCTTCTGCATGCTCAGATCATTCCCTTCCCTTGCTTGAAAAATTGTTCCAAAATGAAAGTTGAACCCACATCTTTTTCATCTGTGAATTCAATGCCTTTCGGCGAGTCTCAAATAAAAATTTGGGCATTTTACTGTAAAAAAATATACCATTAAAGAGGTGGTAATTCCCCCCTCAGAGTCTTACTCCACCCACGTATCAATTTTAAAAAATGCAACATTAGTAGGCATTGCCTGGAGGACCGAGAGGTCGGAGCCGCGGCAGTGACGAAGACGATGGCTAACTAGACAATGCTAGCTCCCTTCACTCTGAGCAGTTATTAGAAGTGGAGGACGCTTCTTCCCCTCCTTACCCAGACACTCGATAAGAAAGGGACCAAGTCTATTTGGAGGAGACAAGCGGACCTGAGCCTTATTGTTTTGAGCTTGTGAGTTGCCTGAAACTAGCAGAACCGACCCAACAGAACCAGCTCTGAATGGTAAGTAGCCGTTAGCCATAGCACTGTTATTATTCCCATCACAGGATGCTGGGTCTCTTCCACATTCATAAACACCTCAAAAATGGCAACAAATGATCATTTCCCTTGCCAAAAATTGATCACAGTGTCCTGGTCACCTGTAAAGGGTTATATTTACCTAAATATTACTTTATTTATTTTCTCTTGATGTTATTAGTCCCATCACAGGATGGTGGGTCTCTTCCTCATTCATAAACACCTCAAATATGGCAACAAATGATCATTTCCCTTGCCAAAAATTGATCACAGTGTCCTGGTCACCTGTAAAGGGTTAAATTTACCTAAATATTACCTTATTTATTTTCTCTTGATGTTATTAGTCCCATCACAGGATGCTGGGTCTCTTCCTCATTCATAAACACCCCCAAAAATGGCCAAAAAAACATAATTTCCCTTGCCAAAAATTGATCACAGTGTCCTGGTCACGTCTAAAGGGTTAAATTTACCTAATATTACTTTCTGTATTTTCTCTTGATGTAATTAGTTCCATCACAGGATGCTGGGTGTATTTTACATTCATAAACACCTCAAATATGGCAACAAAAAATCATTTCCCTTGCCAAAAATTGATCACAGTGTCCTGGTCACCTGTAAAGGGTTAAATTTACCTAAATATTACCTTATTTATTTTCTCTTGATGTTATTAGTCCCATCACAGGATGCTGGGTCTCTTCCTCATTCATAAACACCCCCAAAAATGGCCAAAATAAACATCATTTCCCTTGCCAAAAATTGATTAGTGTCCTGATCACGTGTAAAGGGTTAAATTTACCTAATATTACTTTCTGTATTTTATCTTGATGTTATTAGTTCCATCACAGGATGCTGTGTGTCTTCCATATTCATAAACACCTCAAAAATGGCAACAAATGATCATTTCCCTTGCCAAAAATTTATCACAGTGTCCTGGTCACCTGTAAAGGGTTAAATTGACATAAATATGACTTCATTTATTATGATGCTGGGTGTGTTCCATAATCATATTCGAATAAACATGAAAATATTCCATCCGAATATCTGTTTCTTTTTATAAATATAACAGCTAGAAGGATTTACAGTTAAAATAGGAGAAACATTTAAGAAAACTATTTACAATTAACCGAAGAAATAGGTACAATTATGTTAAATCAAGAGATAATAAATAAGACAGAGTCCTGAACATTTCCGTTTTTCATGGCCTGTCTGAAGGGGGCTTCACACACACACACACACACACACACACACACACACACACACACATATTTGTGTGTGTGTGCATTATATATATATATATATATATATATATATATATATATATATATATATATATATATATGTGTATATATATGTATGTATATATAAACTATATACACATATAAACGAAACAAAAAACTATATATATGTATAGTTTATTTACTTAGTTTATATAAATATATATATACACATACATACATACATATATATATATATATATATATATATATATATATATATATATATATATATATAAACTATATATACATATAAACGAAATAAATAAACTATATATATATATATAAACTAAATAAACTATATATATCACACGCAAATGTGTGTGTGTGCGTGTGTGTGAGTGTGAGAGAGAGAGAGAGAGAGAGAGAGAGAGAGAGAGAGAGAGAGAGAGAGAGAGAGAGAGAGAGAGAGAGAGAGAGAGAGAGAGAGAGAGAGAGAGAGAGAGAGAGAGAGAGAGAGAGAGAGAGAGACTAAACGTAGGAACCTTTCTCTGCGGAACAGAAGTTTAATTTCCTATTTTCATGAGGTTTATTTAACCGCTGAACCTTCTACTCATAACAACACGGCTGTCATGGTAGTCATTTTGATGCGCTGATTTGTTTCCTTTTTAACATTAGAAGTTCATTAAACTATCCTAAACACGCAGTTTCGTAGCTAACGTGATTAGCCGCTAGCACTGATAGCTTCTATGAAGTCAAGCTGACGTAATTCTAAGAAGTTATGACGTTTGGACTTTTATCGCCGCTACAATGTAGTCGACTGCTTAACAGTTTAGGCAGAGCACACTCACAGACGGTCAGACTTCGACGCTTCTCAGAAAAGTTCCCTTCTAACGAGCACATCAGAAGATTTATATCAGAAAATACGGAGCTAGCTGGTGAACAGAGCCTGACCCCCGAGATGAAACTGAGATTATTTACTCCTGGCTGCAGATTCTGGACAGAAAGAGCAGAGCTGTGGCCTTTTGATGACCCATACTGGGCGATTTATTGGCCTGGAGGACAGGCGCTGTCAAGGTCTTACCATAAACAAAGTGTTTCATATTGAAAGCTGCTTAGACCACACTTTGACCTCCCACCTCCCTGTAGGTACTTAATGGATCACCCTGATGTGTGTATGGGGAAGGCTGTTTTGGATCTGGGGAGCGGCTGTGGAGCTTCAGCCATCGCTGCCAAAATCTGTGGTTCTGCTCATGTGGTGGCCAATGACATCGACCCACGTAGGTCATTACATCATTTCTACCAGATCACAATTACATTGTGTCTCCAATAATTATACCACCCAATGCTATACTAATAACTGTAATTTTATTATTTTTATTTAAAAGAAAATGTGTGTTTGAATGTGGGCTTTTTTTCACTTAAATAACTATCAATGAAATAATAGCCTTTAATATTTTTTTTATTATTAATTCAGTTTATTTCTTTGTTTCGGTGGTTGATTCTATGTCATGGTGTGATGCCTTGATGAACTCTGATGGAGCACATTTTTTTTGTAGGAATATGGTCCAAATCATTTTTTAATGATTTATATTAAATCTAATTCTGTTTTATAATTTGCTGGTCCCCGTCTTTATCTTTTGATTTTTTTTAATTGGTTGACTGTGGGCAATTCTTGTTAAGAGTCAAATAAACAGCTGTATCAGAAGCTGGGACCTCTTTTGGGTCAGGGTTCAAACTTTTTTTCCTCGTTCTTTTACTGATTAAATAAAATAATATTTTAAGGCAGTTGCCATTGTCGGAGTAAAGGATGTTAACCTGATATGTTGTTGTTTTTAATAACCTTAGTTAACTCTGTGTTCCAGCAACAATTGGGAAGTATCATTGATATCTCACTTCAAGGGCGAGTAACACCCACACAAATATCTTTGGTACGCAGATAACAGCTACCAGTGTCTAGCACTGGCTGGCAGCAGGCATGAGAAAAGAGATGAGCTGTTAGCCTCTCATTGGTAAATCAGCTCAGTGAAAAAGGCTGACAGGAAAACATCACTTTCCATCTACATGCATGTTGATTTTATAGGACCCTAGAACATCTCAGATGTAAATTAACTTCAAAGAACCGTTTCTTCTCCCAGCATTTGGATACCTCTTATCTGACTCCCGCACTCCAGTTTTTTCTGAATTCCTTTCTTTATCTTTGCCCTGCAGCTTCTCCTCCTCCATGCTGACCCTGACACTGCAGAGTCTAGTTACTCGTTGCTGTGAAATGAGGCTGAAAAGTGTGTATTTTTTGTTCTAACAAGCTTTTGCTTCAAGCAGCATCTGCTTCACTTTGATTCATCACACACACACACTCACTCACACACACACACAATGATTTTTTCCCAATCTCCCTGTAACGGCTCTGACCCAAACCTTTTGACAAAAGCTCAAAAGTCGTCCTTCATCCCAAACTGGGAGTGGTTTCTTTTACTAATTTCCTGAGCAAAAAATGAAAAATAACCAATAATTTTTTTACTGAGAAATAAGAATTAGAGGTTCTTAGAGAGTAAATAGTGTAATTTTCTCCTATTTAGCTCAAACATTAATTATACTGTATTATTTTGAAATGACACTGGCCTTACTCTCCAGTTCAGAGGCAGCAGTGTTTTTATTCTTTGACACTTAAAACTGTATATGTATTTCTCTTTTTCAGTCGCAGCCGTTGTGACTCAGATGAACTCTGAACTGAACAAAGTTGAGCCTCCAGTTTGTTTGACCAGCAACATGATTGGTTCAGACCCAGAGGGCTTCGACTTGATCCTCCTAGGGGACATGTTCTATGACGAGTGCCTCGCTGACAGCCTCCACAGCTGGCTGGACAGCTGCATCAAAACCCACAGAACCAAAGTGCTCATCGGAGATCCTGGACGAGCCCCGTTTGAGGGACATGATGTACGAAAACATCTGCATCACCTGGCCCGGTTTGAGTTACCTGAGTGTGTGAGGGAGGAGAACTATGGCCTAACCACCAGCGACGTGTGGCGTTACCATCCTGAACTCTGAGAAGTTCAGAGGATGCACCACAACATGCGATAAACATGTGATGACCAGCCTTTGTATAAAAGTGGATGCATGGAGCAGATCAGACTGAGCCTTGGACCGTGTGCCTCATTTGCATTTGTTTCCTTTGCAGGCAAGTTGAAAAAAAAAATCAGATTCAAAGACAATCAGAGATGCTCCCACTTGTTTATTTAAGACAACAGACAATTTCAGTGATTTATTTGTTCGGTAATAACTGAGCAGGAAACTCGTGGCTTGAGACTCTGAGTGGCTGCCGGAGCAAATCTGACTGTGAAAGCTCCCCTCTTCCTCACACCAGAGACTGGAGTTTGATTAATGATCTGGTGATCTGGTCTACATGTTGACATAAAGCTAAGTTGTTCTAGTTTGCTTTGCCTTAATACCTTAAGCTTTTGTTTTACCTTTTTTCATTTGTTGGTTCAAAGCCAGGCTTTTCCATTAGACAGTGTGGGTCTTTGAAGAGCAAGTAATGCCTAAATTAACTTTTTGTTGATAATTTGTTTTGATGAGTGTCTAATGGTGCTGCACACATGTGCAATCATTAGTGTGGCAGTTTAGTGCAGCTCACTTTAAATGTAATATTTCAGCCCAAAACCATGATTATATCTTCATCTTCTGGTTAAAACTCTGCTCCACATTTATGTAGAGCCAGCTGTGGCTGATGAGCTGGAAAAAGTGACGTTATCAGCAAAGTACTACGTGGCTGCGCTGCACTGGTCTCCAGGTGAGGCAGCCGCACCTCCACCTGGCTCAGCCACTCACCTGCCGATTTGACACATCGGCTCTCTGAGCCGCTCGCCTCTTTGAAAAAAAATGCCCTCCTCCCCTTTTTCATCTAATGATCGTGATTAACAGGAAATCCTCCAGAATGCTGCAGAATCTGTTTGCTTTTCTCCTGAGCGGTAAGTCTTGTGCGAGTGTGAGTGAGCACGAGCTCGTTAACAACTCGTTTTTAGATTGAGATACAGAAATGTTCGGTTTTCCCAAACCTCGTGATTTTCCAACAGCATTATAGCAGAATCACAAGTTGGCCAAGTCTTTGACATAACAGATATATATATATATATTTTATTACTTATTTTTTATTCAAGTTTTCTTTCAGCGGTTACAGTGTAAGGGTACTTCATTCATACGTTATTACACATTTGCTCTCTTATCAACGTCCTTATTCTTCGGCATCTGTGGTGGCATCTTCTTTTCGGCTTTGGTAGTCAGACTACTTGTCCCATTTAGCCTCAAATTGTGACTCTTGTAATCTCAGTTTATGTGTGATTTTCTCCATTACAAAAATCTCTTCTACCGTGCATGTCCATTGTTCCACAGTCGGAGGGTCTACTTTATACCACATTCTGGTAATTGTTTTTTTAACCCTTTGGTGCATGATGGTCACTACAGTGGACAGGTACTCAAAATTGTTATTTATTTGTTTTTGCTATTAAGCACAGCTGTTGAAGACTTTATTGTATTTGAGCCCCTCCATTTGGACTTCAGTAAGTCAAGCCAACATATTTCATGTTCAGAATGCACGTGGTCCACTAAGGTGGACCTGTAATAAATTATTTGTAAATTATAAAATTTTACAAAAAATATTTGTTGAAATTTGTTTCATTCACACCTAAAGATGAATGAAAAAAATTGTTAAAAAAATCATGGCTGAAGATTTCATAATTCATGCATCAAAGGGTTAATGGCTGAGAGTAATCCTTTAACTAGATATTCATCTTCTTTTTGTATTATATCTCGTTAAATTTCCCAAGTATAGTATCTTACATGTTTTTGGTATCCCATATCCTATTATTTTTTGTATGTTCCTCCATAGACATAACAGATATGTTCACAGTTGGCCTTAACTTGGCAGTTGAACTTTGAGAATCGATAGCCCTGTTGTTAGAAGTCTGGACCTCTCCGGTCATTAATTTATTTAATAAACAGTTCTCGTGAGCAATTTACTTTCGCTTTGCTTGGGAACCGACTGTACAAACAAAATTCCTTCGGAGCTGATGGGAAAAACAGCACACGAACCTTCCCGTCAAACAATCAGGCTTTTAAACCAAAGATTCACAATTCAGCTTTATACTTTTTGTACAGACCTTGACCTTTAAAGCCCCTACATCACATGTTAAAAAGCTGCTTCTAACAGCTGCATCTGAGGACTGATTACAATGTTCTACTCAAGGTCACTCAGCCAGACTTATTTACTCTTTTTTTATGAAGAATGAACTCAACAGAATGTACGATGGTAATGAATACAGAAAACTGAGAGTGTGAGCATGGATGTAATTTTCACTTTAGAAGTGGGGGGACATGGGGGGGTATCTTTACAGGGCTGCATGGTGGCGCAGTTGTTAGCACTGTTGCCTCGCAGCACGAAGGTTGCAGGTTCGAAACTCGGCTGCGGCCTTTCTGCGTGGAGTTGCGTGTTCTCCCCATGCATGCGTGGGTTTCCTCCGGGTACTCCGGTTTCCCCCACAGATCACAACATGCCCTATAGGTTATAAATTGTAAGTCGCTTTGGATAAAAGCATCTGCTAAACAAATAAACAAACAGTATGTTCTAATGGGAAACAGGCTTCAACACAAACTGTTGTTTTCTGCTTGGTCCTAGAGCTCAACCCGTATTAATTTAATATAAATTAATATTGTTTTTGGATGGTAAAAAGTGCAGGGGTTAAAACTTGACTTTGGAAAAGGTGGGGAGGACATGCCCCCCCCCCCCCCCCCCCCCCCAAATTACGTCCATGTTTATGGGCATAATACAACTTTGGTGCAGTGATATTAAAATATTCTAAAGCCAGTTAGAGCTTTAACGCAATAAGAACACGGAGAGCTCATTGGCTGAGAGTCATGAACTTTAAGTGAACTCTGAAAGATCTGACACAATTATTGCAAACCAGACATGAAACATGACACTTTAATGGAATCAGTCCAGAGAAATGACTTCTGGTGGGGGTGGGGTACTCAAATATGTTTTCAGCAGTGCTCTCTGTAGGATTGCTTAGGTTTATTTCTCTGCAAATGAACAAAGGCATTTGTAGGTTCTGACCTAATTTTGCAAATAAGTAAAGAATATATTCAAAATGTGACATCACATTTAATGATATAAGATATGGCATTCCAACTAGGGAATCTCCAGCAAAAGAACTTTGATACCTCTGGCGTCGCTTATCTTGGGTTTGCAGACAAGATTACATCTGTTGTACATTTTTGCTGTGTTTATCTTCATATTCCATTTTTGGTCCTTTTTTTTGTCAGCTCTGAGGATGTTTGCAGCCACAACGAAACTGTCAGCAAGGTAAAGAAAAAACTTTTCTGTGTTAAAAAAAAAAGAACCAAAAATGGAATTTGAAGATTACATCTGGTTCTGCTTGACAACAGACATAAGAAACCAAAGCTTACAGTTAGACTGAAAGTCCACCCCATCGTCAGAACAAGCCGGGTCCCAGCCTAATGTCATACTGAGAAATATCTGTTTCAGCTCCATGGGAAGGTCTAATGGTTAATCTGTCCACATTGACTTGGAATCAGCACCAAGGACAGCTCAGATCAACCTTCTTAGAGATTGTTGGTTGCTGGAAGGTGTTCTCACTTCGGAGTTTACTTAATAGGACATTAAAAGTTATTTCATGCCATTTTCAGGTTCCTGCAGCTTTGAAATTCAAAATATTTTCACACTTTCTTCAGTGCTCTACTTAAATGCTCAAAACAATCATGTTTATGTGGCAGATACTTTTATGCAAAGTGACTTACATCTGGAGCTGCAGTGGTTAACGCTGTTGCCTTGCAGCAAGACTGTCCCAGGTTTAAATCCCAGCCTGGGGTTCTTTTTGCAAGGAGTCTGCATGTTCTCCCTGTGCACAAATGGGTTCTCTAGGGGTACTCCGGCTTCCTCCCACCGCCCAAAAACATCACCATCAGGTTAATTAGTCTCTCTAAATTGTCTTTATGTCTCTGTGTGTGTGTGTGCGTGTGCGTGTGTGTGTGTGTGTGTGTGTGTGTGTGTGTGTGTGTGTGCATGCGTGCGTGCGTGCGAGTAAGGCTGTTTGTTCTGTGGGTCTCTGTTGCCCTGAGATAGACTGGCAACCTGTCCAGGGTGTATCCTGCCTGTTGGCCCAGAGATTGCTGGAGATAGGCACCAGCGACCCTGCATGGACAGAAAATAGATACACTTACATCTGTGGATTTAGCAATGACAGTTATTCATGCATGTTTTTGGTCAGGAGGAGAAAACCGATGCATGGATGGGGAAAACATGCAAACTTCGAATTTAAAAGAACTAAATATCTTATAATATATGAGTAAAAAAACTTATATTGTAAAGCATCTGTAGCGAGTGTCCACTCTTGTGGTCCATAGAAAACGTTGCTTTTTCAGGGTGGTTGACGCCGCGTGTCACAACTGTCACACCCGGTCATGTCTCCCCGTTTAGTTCAGCCTTGTGTCTCGTTGATTACTCCCACCTGCCTCTCGTTTCCCAATCACCTTAGCTCCCAACCCTCCTGTATTTAAACCCTGTCTGTTCTTTGTACTGTGTCGGATCATTGTTTCATTGTCCAGCGTGCTTCAGTATTAAAACCCTTTGAATGTGCTCACCTGTCTGCCTGTTTTCCTGCTCCGTGTTGGATCCTCATCTCAGCTCCGTTCCTCTCAGCAGCGCGCTGACAGAATGATCCGACCCAAACCCGTTGTGAGATCCAGCGAGGAGATTCTCCCGTGGGAGCACCTGCTTCAGTGGCTCACTCCGAGCCACCACCCAGCTTCTCCATCGCCTTCCCCTGCTTCAGTTCTGCCTCGCCGAAAACGCCGTCCTCGGCCATCAGCCGCAGCAATCCTCGCTGCTCTCCCGGAACCGGACGAGGGGTCGGACCGGGAGCCGCTTCCGGATCGCTCCAGCTTCGTGGGCACCCGCCTGGCTGTGTGCTCCCCGGGAGTTGGCCCACGGCGTGGGGAGGCATGCCGGGCTCCACCGCAGCGGCTGGTCCCTGGACGGAGCCACGAGCTCGCTGCAGTTCTGGCTCAGTGCGCCAACTTGGACACGCCCCCAGTCAGACCAGCAGTCCCGTCTCCGGTCCAACTAGCGCCTTCGTCATCTGCAGGCGGAGGAACCACGCCCACAGCCCAGCTGATGGAGCTCCAGGCGGAGCTTGACCGGATCCGCCAGCTCGTCAGCCTCCAGGAGAGTCACCTGGACACTCTATCCTCCCCGAACCGCCAGGAGAGGAGTGAGCCCGTCCACCAAGCGGAGCTCGCTGGTCTCCGGGCTGAACTGGCCCAGCTCCATCGAACCCTCAACCTCCAGGAGCTTCAGCTGGACGGGCTGTCCCCCCTGCTCTCACGGCTTCCAGCCCTACCAGTTCCACCACTTCCAGTCCAGCCTGTCCAGGCAGCCCCTCCTACAGCTGCCTCGCCTCCACTCCAGAGGGCCCAGAAGCAGAAGGGACGGGCTCAGAAGCAGAAGGGATGGGCCCAGAAGCAGACGGTTCCGGTTCTGGCCCCGAAGCGGACGGGTCGGCCCCAGCAGTCGGCGGTCCAGCAGTCGGCGGTCCAGCAGTCGACGCCCCCGGACCAGAAGTCGACGCCCCCGGACCAGAAGTCGACGGTCCAGAAGTCGACGGTCCAGAGGTCGACGGTCCAGGGCTCTGTGGCCGACGCCCCTGCCAGTCCTGTGGCCGACGCCCCTGCCAGTCCTGTGGCCGACGCCAGTCCTGTGGCCGACGCCTCTTCCTCGTGTTCTGAAGTCGACGCCTCTTCCTCGTGTTCTGAAGTCGACGCCTCTTCCTCGTGTTCTGAAGTCGACGCCTCTTCCTCGTGTTCTGAAGTCGTCGCCTCTGATGACGTCGCCTGTCCAGAAGTCGACGCCTCTGATGACGTCGCCTGTCCAGAAGTCGACACCTCTGATGACGTCGCCTGTCCAGAAGTCGTCGCCTCTGATGACGTCGCCTGTCCAGAAGTCGTCGCCCCTGATGACGACGTGTCCGAAGTCGTCGCCCCTGATGACGACATGTCCGAAGTCGTCGCCCCTGATGACGACGTGTCCGAAGTCGTCGCCCCTGATGACGACGTGTCCGAAGTCGTCGCCTCCTCCTCTGATGACGACGTGTCCGAAGTCGTCGCCTCCTCCTCTGATGACGTCGCCTCCTCCTCTGATGACGTCCCGTCTGATGACGTCGCCTCCTCCTCTGATGACGTCCCGTCTGATGACGTCGCCTCCTCCTCTGATGACGTCCCGTCTGATGACGTCGCCTCCTCCTCTGATGACGTCCCGTCTGATGATGTCGCCTCCCCGTCTGATGACGTCGCCTCCTCCTCTGATGACGTCCCGTCTGATGATGTCGCCTCCCCGTCTGATGACGTCGCCTCCTCCTCTGATGACGTCCCGTCTGATGATGTCGCCTCCCCGTCTGATGACGTCCTGTCTGATGACGTCACCTCCTCCTCTGATGACGTCCCGTCTGATGACGTCGCCGCCTCCTCTGATGACGTCGCCGCCTCCTCTGATGACGTCCCCGAAGTCGGCTCGTCTGACGACGTCGCCGCCTCCTCTGATGACTTCCCCGAAGTCGGCTCGTCTGACGACGTCGCCGCCTCCTCTGATGACGTCACCGAAGTCGGCTCGTCTGACGACGTCGCCGCTGCCTCGTCCTCTGAAGTCGGCTCGTCTGACGACATCGCCGCTGCCTCGTCCTCTGAAGTTGGCTCGTCTGACGACATCGCCGCTGCCTCGTCCTCTGAAGTCGGCTCGTCCGATGACATCGCCGCTGCCTCGTCCGGGGATGCTCTTTGCACTCAAGAGGCCGACGCTCCATCCAGCCCGGCGTCTCCACGGTCTCCGGTTCCGATGGTGGTTTTGAGGGCAACGCCGGCCCAGCCTGCAGTGACTTTGTCGCCGGCCCAGCCTGCAGTGACTTTGTCGCCGGCCCAGCCTGCAGTGACTTTGTCGCCGGCCCAGCCTGCAGTGACTTTGTCGCCGGTCCAGCCTGCAGTGACTTTGTCGCCGGCCCAACCTGCAGAGCTCCTCTTCTGCCGCAGGCGCCGGCCTCGAAGGGCCCATCGCCTCCTCATCTGCCGCAGGCGCCGGCCTCGAAGGGCTCGTCGCCTCCTCATCTGCCGCAGGCGCCGGCCTCGAAGGGCCCGTCGCCTCCTCATCTGCCGCAGGCGCCGGCCTCAAAGGGCCCGTCGCCTCCTCATCTGCCGCAGGCGCCGGCCTCCAAGGGCCCGTCGCCTCCTCATCTGCCGCAGGCGCCGGCCTCCAAGGGCCCGTCGTCTCCTCGTCTGCCGCAGGCGCCGGCCTTCCAGTGCTCGTCGTCTCCTCCTCTGCCTCAGACACCGGCCCCCAGAGCTCGTCGTCTCCTCCTCTGCCTCAGACGCCGGCCTCCAAGAGCCTGTTGTCGCCTCCTCCTCTGCCCCTCTGCTGGTCCCTCTGTTCCTCTGGGCCCTTCCTCCTGGTTCCCCTCCTCCCACCCTGCTCCTCGTTCCTGTGGGTGTCTGGGATCCGCCCCTTGAGGGGGGGGTACTGTCACAACTGTCACACCCGGTCATGTCTCCCCGTTTAGTTCAGCCTTGTGTCTCGTTGATTACTCCCACCTGCCTCTCGTTTCCCAATCACCTTAGCTCCCAACCCTCCTGTATTTAAACCCTGTCTGTTCTTTGTACTGTGTCGGATCATTGTTTCATTGTCCAGCGTGCTTCAGTATTAAAACCCTTTGAATGTGCTCACCTGTCTGCCTGTTTTCCTGCTCCGCGTTGGATCCTCATCTCAGCTCCGTTCCTCTCAGCAGCGCGCTGACACCGCGGTGAGTTTTATTGTACAGACCCTGGTTTGGACTCCCTTTTTTGAAGGACTCGTTTTCTATTTTAAGGTGGAATGGAGAATATTACGTAACCCTACTTGGTCCAGAGTTAACACTCTCTTCCTTTTAGGATCCCGTTCCTCAGTTGTTCTGAGTACTAGGGCAAAGGGTTACTGGAGGCCAACACAACTATTATTTGGGTCCTATCATGATTAATTTGTACCTCTGTCAGCATGTGTGGGCAGTGTTGACTAGAAAATGATTCCCGTTAGGTGATCAGTCTAACGTGGATTTATCAATTAATCTACTTGAGCCACCCTTTGAAATGGTTCCTTCCCACGCTGGCCAGACTTTTTCACACACGCAGAACAGAGCCTGTTTGAACCATCTAATCATATAGAACTCCGGGAGTTGACGTCACTTCTCCCAGCATGCAACAGTTCAAATCGAAATGGCGCCATTTTGGCATGCAGAAGCCCGCAGCTGGACTGTTTGTTATTGTCAGAAAACTCAATCAAACGGGAAATATGGTAGATTCCTGTTGTGCCCCAGGATGTAGAACAGACGCGGACGACATAAGGAATGAGCCATCTACAGGATTCCCCAAGATCCGGAGCGCCGCAAACGTTGGATCATTGTAATAAAATGCACTAGAGACCAGGGTAAAATGAAACTGTGGGATCGTGAGAGTAAAGGTTTTCACTTATGCAGCGACTACTTCATATCAGGTACTTAAACCAACGTTTCCTCAACTGTGTATGGTATTTATTTTAAATGCTTTTATTACGATTCTTAGTGGGCTTCCTAAACTTATTTTGGCGAGGCTTTTTCTGTCTTATTACTCATAGCAACACGTAAACGTCACGTAAAACATTGCCTCGTGAGTTCTGCGTGCTGCCGTTTACGTGTTTTATGATCACAGCAATTAACCGGCTAAGCTGCATTTAATTTTTAAGCAATGGTTGATCAATTGTCAGATCACACATAAAAAGCACTTTGGATTGCTATTATCTGTCTCACCGAGACGGATCTCAGACAGATCCTGAGACGCTCCTGCCTGACATATTTATTTTATTCACGGAAAAAAAATCAAACTAGTGATTTCTCCCGGCGTTCAGTTTATACATTCAAACAGCACAGCACTCTATTTGAACTACTTACATGTAAATCTGTTATTTGTCCATCCATCCATCCATTTTCATCCGCTCATCTGGAGTCGGGTTACGGGGGCAGTAGCGTCGAGAGGCCCAGACTTCCCTCTCCCCAGCCACTTGGGTCAGCTCCTCCGGGGAAATCCCAAGGGGTTCCCCGGCCAGGTCCGGTAAGAAGTCCGCTCCGACAGCTTCTGGCGTTTTTAAAAAGTATCCCAGGGGCACGGTAAGGGTCGGAGATGTTTAGTTTATTTAATTTCTGACTATATAAAACGATTTCTTCGGTTTTAAAGTGTGAAGTAAACTCCGAAGTAAAATCCAAGCCGATCCCGTTCATGTTCATGTTTACGATCCGTGTTTGTTTACCTTTTTTTCCTGTGAGACATATGACATATTTGCAAATATATTGTGCAGCATACAATGTTCAGATGTGACCTTTTGAGACGCCCATGTGAGTGCAAAGCGTGGTCTGACTCAACCTGACAACAGTCAAATTAGGCCCCCACAGACAGGGAGACTCCCTGTGACAGCTGGAACATCTAATCACATGAGCCGCACCTGGAGGAAGCAAAGCATTAGAGCGAAACAAACAACACTCACACACTCAACACCCAATCAGAGATAAGAACATGAGCCCATCACGCGCTCCTTGACCTATCACAGGAAGACGCACCCTAGAGGGAAAGAGCCAGACTCCTACTTAAACACTCTCTTATCTTTAGACCAGTCAGACCATTCCGAGCACATTGCGTGAGCACTTAATGTATGTTGCACCGTGTTGGTCTCCACTCTCTTTTGATTGTACATTAAAGCTGTTTCAATCCTTAGTTTTTGACTCGGTCGTTTTCCTTCCACATCAACCAACTCGGGGAGGTCGGTATCCATCATTTAGGACCTCAACACCTGCCAATATGGCATCTACTAACTGAGAGTCACGTGGGGTTCGAAGCTCTATATGCTCATTACACTTAGGATGTCCCGCTACCATAGGGGGAGGAGAGGCTAAGCTCTCATACCTAAGGTATCTTTTCTCATCTGTCACTACCTGATACAAGTCCTGAAGCTCAGGTACGAGTAAAAAGGTGGCTTACCTTTGTTGCAAGATCTGGCCGAGGCTCCTACTCTCTGTTAGAAAAGAGACTTTAAAAAACTGAGGATTTTCTTTATTTCAAAACTTTATTACAAAAGTATAAAAGTGCAAACCCTGGGGTTAAAACTTCTATATCCCCTTTTTCCGGAACTGCGCTGCTCTGGGCGGCTGCATGTTGGAGTAGTTCTGTTGACTAACTGTAAGTTTTGCCTTTTCTTGGGCATTTTTTCTTCTAGTTTCTCAAGAAAAACTGTATTTTTTGGACACTTTACTTTTCTGTTTCTGGTGCTGTGAAGCTTGGAGGATTTTTACTGCTATTTTTTGTTTTGTTTTGTTTTTTTCACTTTTTGAGCATTTGTTATGATGCATAACCATGGCAACAAGCTGGTTTATAATGGGGAGCAGCTGATTAACATTGGAAAGGCTGAAATAATACCTCAACTGAAGCCACAAATCCCAAATGAGCTAAAATGCAAGAAGCGTGGGTGCAGAGCGGGAGCAAAACATCTCTTCCATCGATCACAATGGGCAATGTGAGCTCACTGGCCAACAAGATGGAGGAACTCCAAGCCCTTTCAAGGACTCGGCCAGTTTCGGAACCGCTGGAGGAGATAATGCAAAGAAGGATTCTCCAGAGAAGCAAGAAAAATATGGACAACCCTGAGCATTCTCTTCACAAGACTGTCCGACAACAGAAGAGTGTCTTCAGGCAGAGGCTTCTTCAGTTTCGCTGCAACACTGACCACTACTGGAGATCCTTCCTGCCAACAGCCATTGTAATATACAATAACTCTTTGACATTATTATTATTATTCTGAGCTACTACAGCAATCAATTTCCCTCTGGGATCAATAAAGTATTTTTGAATTGAATTGAGGGTGCTGCTCTATTTTTTCTATCTAAATCTCTCCCTGAAAGTAGATGCTTCCTCCCCTTCTTTTTCTTGTCTCGTGTCTTCCCCCTTTTCAGTCTCTTCTTATATACCCTTCTTATCTGCATAGCGAAGCAGTTTGCATCGCGAAGCAATTTGCATGGTGAAGCAATTTCGAAGGATTTTGCATATATCAGCAAATCACAAATAGCAAAAAAAAAAAAAATGTGATCATTATGCTTAGCAAGAAGTTTCCAGTTCATTCAAAGTTTACTTCCACACAGAAGCTTTCATATCCTTATTGTCTACTTCCTGTGTTCTCCTGCCTCGCTGCCACTCGCATCAGCAGCCCTCCGCTCAGATCTTCCTCCAGCGTGACATCTCTATGCTGCAGGGGGGCTTCCTGCAGCATGCGGGGGCTTCCAACATCTTTATCTCCTTTGTCATTTTGCAGCATCTTGAAATTAAATTCAACTCATTGCAGTTTAACTTCAATGTCTGTGCTTTCTAGTAATAACCTCACAACCATTTAATATTCAACAAATTGCATTTATTTACAAGTTAACAACTGTATCCAACACTGACCTTTTAAAAAAGGAAGTTTTTACATACATTCAGAAAACAAATGAGTTTTCCCACAAAATAACACTGGAGTGAGGTAAAGAAACATAGACCACTTATTGGTATAAAAAGTAAAAAAAATATGCAAATATACCAAAATAATTTGTCAATATAAAGTATAATAAATACACAGCATATTAACTCTGCAGCCTTGGAAATGCTACAAGTATTGATTATGGAATACTGTGGAAGTTCCCTTCACAAATGTAAACAATAAAAAAAAATACTGACTTAAGTTTTAGTTTGTCTACAGTACAGTGCTCCCTTCAACCACCAACAAGACCACGTAGGTCTCGTGAATTCTGGCAGATTATTCATTAGAGGATGAGCGAGTCTTCTCTTTGTGCTTCTTCTGATACTCATTAAAGAGACCGCCATTCTTGGGAGGACGCAGAGGCCTGTACAGTTTCGCAGGACTTGAATACCAAATTCCTATCAATAATTAACGTTACAATAAGTCATCAGATACTTATTTTAAAGTTAAAAATTCCAAAAGATCAGGTTTTAGATACCTTTGGGGTGTTTGGTAGGGCCGGGACTCTGGTCTTTTTCTTCTTCTAGTTTGGTTTCATCTGAAACAAAAGATTAAAAAAGTAATGAGCTAGAATTTAACTACCAGAAACGATTATTGTGGTAAACTTGAAGAGGTTCATAGAATTCACCTGACATTACGAACAGCTACTGTTAGAGAAAATAAAGGTTATTATGCTATAGAAGTCTAACATGGAAACTTTGAGCCTGCAGGTAAGCAGCACTTTCTTAGTACACAGGTAAACAGGAAACAGGACTTTCTTGTTTTAACAGATACCATGACAGTTACACAACACACATGGTTTTTTCCATTACCCCATGTGGAGTTGGTTATCTATTTGAGTGCAGGCAACGCCCTGACAACTGCTTATGCCAGGGGTCGGCAACCTTTTCCCATCAAAGAGCCATTATTACCTGTTTCCCACAGTAAAGAAAACAGAGAGCTGCTTTAACCAATCACAGCAGGTAACAGCAGCCAATACCGGTCGCTCGTGCACGTCAGACTTATCTTTCAACAGAAGATGATCAATAAAACGATTTGTATAAAATGGATCCAGAAGTTGTAGCCCGTCTTTGCTTACAATATTTTGATATTTTTCACCCTGTTAGTGGTTTTACTGAGCAGGTGCCACTTTTGTCGCACATGTTTCTTTTAAAAACATGTTTTAACTGTTCAGAATACAAATCCAGGCTCTATCAGGTTTGATTGTTGTATTTAAACTTTGTCGGTGGGGAAGGTCAGAAAAGGATCCGATCAGTTTTTCCCTCATTTACAGTGACGGCGATAACGGCGCAGTGCCCTGGCTCTGGTGTTAATCAAGTTAAATTTTGTCTCTTTGAAACAATTTTCACAAGAAAACAGAACAGTTAAAAGCAGGGCTTGTGTTGACTGGACAGTTCCCGTATTTGACCGTTTATTTTGATGGAGGAAGAATAGAAAGAATTACCCCAATGCATGCAGACAAGCTGACATTTTATTCGTTACGCACATCTCAGATGTAGCTAAATCACTCAAGAAAAGATTCTCATCTGAACATCTGAGCTGGACATTGCTCAGCGCAGCTCACTGTCAGCGCGTACGTAAGGTGCACAGCGAGCTGAAGATGTGGAGAGGGACTTGGAGCGCGTCACAGAACCAGAGCGCATGTGGGAAGATTCCTCCCACTGAAGAGAGTGTTGTCCAAACCCTGTCTCTCAGAGAGACTTGTCACTTAGAAAATGTTCCCTGATTATGAAACTTTGGCTGAATAGCGCTTGTTCCTGTCTCCAATGTGGCGACACATCCAGGAGCCTGTCTGAGGAGAATCCCAGAATCTCACATCCTCTTCAGCTCAGAAAGCACCTATAGAGATATCTGATTACACACAAGCATGACCCATTAACCCGGTCTCACAGTAAGACCAGGTTGGACCTGTTCAGGTTTCCGCAGACAATCTTTACATTTAGAATTGTCATACAGACATAAAATGAATGCAGTAAAATATAAAGCATTTTATTTAAATATCCATTCATTATTTTACAAGCACAGAAAGCCGCATCAGATGGATGGAAGAGCCGCAAGCGGCTCCAGAGCCGCGGGTTGCCGACCCCTGGCTTATGCAAATGAACCTCTCTGTCAACAAAAAGGACTGCAAGAGGAAGTGAGAATTCAGTGCTGGTGTGAAAATTCCACCGTACTCCTCTGCAGAGTAAAGGTTGGTTTATGCTTGACGCGTGCGTCCGCGAGGTCCGCACGGCGAAATTGCGCCATTTTAACATCCACGCCCCTCCACCGCGCCTTCGCACAGCCCAAAATTTCCGCAACGCGCACCTAGGAAAATTTCTAACCACGCGGACGGTCGGACGCAGAAAAACATGGCGGACCGGCAAGAACTAGTATGGCAGAGGTTCGTAAATACAGACATTTGTGTGATTCAGCTCTCAAAGATCACCGTGATCAACATGTTGTTAATAATTCTTGGAGAGAAATAGCTCGCACTGTCGGAAAAGACGAGGACGCTGTTAAAAATGCTGGAATGCCATGTTGTAACAGGGGTGGACATTAACTTCAAAACCAACCGGCCAGCCGGGCCGGTAACTCTGAATATTTACCGGCCCCACCAAGAATCTACCGGCCCCACTGGTCAGCTGCCAAAACGAGTCAAAATAATAACAGAACTGTTTTAAATGTAATAAACCTTTATTTTGTACACATTCACAAACATAATAACGTATTCAAGTTTGAATTTGTTTGTTCCCTCAACAAAACACGATTTTGTCGTCGCATACTTCCGGCATACAACACAGTACATCACCAACTCCGCTTTGCTGTATTCGAGCCATCGGCTGTGTTCGAGATGAGCCAGTTCTGCGCAGACTAGACCAGCGGTGATCGGCGAGCAGTGCATGCCGGTTAGATTCGTGTCCGAATTGATGCCGACTTGCTCTGACGTCATGCATACGTAGACAACGATAAACTTGTGAGATCAAGGCGGCCGCAGATTTTGGAGCAAGGCGCTGCAGTTGCTCTCCCTCGGCTGCAAAACCTAGATGATGATGGGAAACGCCTGGCTCTCACCTGATCTAAGATCTGATTGGTTCATATTTTGATCCAAACATTCGGTGGTAGAACATGAAATGTTAGTTGTTCACATGTATTCTATAAATCACATATAGGCCATAAAGAGAAATGTGTTTTGTTTTCTTTTGTCACGTTTCCTATGAGCACACTAAACCTACAGCTGATAACCTTTAATTATTACAGTCAGGTCTTCATATACAATATATGATATCCACAAGCACGTGAGGATGTTTCAGCTGCTAACAGGCACCAGAATTAAAATTGAAAATTAAACAAATGTGAACGCTGACGCGATATCTTCAGCCATCGTCACCCCCGAGCTACACATGCAGGAAAATCCAAGAGATTCAACTGGCAGAAACAACTGGTTCACAGCATAGTGTCTCTCTCTCTGTCTCTCTGTCTCTCTGTCTCTCTCTCTCTCTCTCTCTCTCCTCTCTCTCTCTCTCTCTCTCTCTCTCTCTCTCTCTCTCTCTCTCTCTCTCTCTCTCTCTCTCTCTCTCTCTCTCTCTCTCTCTCTCTCTCTCTCTCTCTCTCTCTCTCTCTCTCTCTCTCTCTCTCTCTCTCTCTCTCTCTCTCTCTCTCTCTCTCTCTCTCTCTCTCTCTCTCTCTCTCTCTCTCTCTCTCTCTCTCTCTCTCTCTCTCTCTCTCTCTCTCTCTCTCTCTCTCTCTCTCTCTCTCTCTCTCTCTCTCTCTCTCTCTCTCTCTCTCTCTCTCTCTCTCTCTCTCTCTCTCTCACACACACACACACACACACACACACACACACACACACACACACACACACACACACACACACACACACACGTAGAGGAAAAGAGCTGAGAAAAGAGAGAGGAAATGGAGGACAAGTAGTTAAAAGAAAAACTACAGCTGAGCCGAGGCGCGCCTCAAATGGGGCGCGTCTGATCTGAACTGAGGAGCGGCGAGCAGCGGCCGAATTTCGTGAGCAATTCGCTTCTCGGCGCTTCGGGCGCTTCCGCGGCCGGTGTGTCCCCGGCGAAACGCCGGCTTTCAGCCACTCCCCCCGCTGCTTCCGTCTTCTCTCGCCTGTTTTCCAGGCGATGCGCTGCTCAACTCGAACACGGCCATTCTCTGTGCCTCCCTTCTTCTTTAAACCGCCAAGAATCATTCCACCTACGCACACGCTTCTCTGCTTCATACCGTTTCGAACTGTCTCGCTTCTCCTCACCAGTTTTAAAGCGTTTTGCTGGAGATTTCATCAAGAAATCCCATCCCTGTGGTGGCGCGATCTTTCTGCGTGCTTGTGTGTTTCTAGCGTGGTTCCACTTCGTCTTTAATAGTGAACTTATAGTTCACGTGACTATAACTAGAATGTGCAGTACGTGCACGAATCGTACAAGTGCAGAACGTGGCTAGAGGCGCGCAGGTTCACGCGCGCGAAACGAAAACGGCGGCTTCCTACAGGGCGGGGCCATGATGTAGGTGAAAGCCAGTGTGTAAATGACAAATAAGGCTTGGGCGCCACCCGGGCGGTAAGTCGTCAAGTATTTACCGCCCGACGAGAAAATTTAGCGCCATTGGCGCTCGGGCGCTTTAACGGTCCACCCCTGTGTAAACAGTAATTTTTACTTCTACTATGGTGTAGTGTTGGATGCATGCTGAAGAACTCCATGCTGCCCCATTCAGTTTGGGAGAATATTGGCTCACCGAAGAGACAAGCCGCATGAACCATTAACGCTGGAAGTTGTGAAGCGCGTTCCATCCGCGAGCCGCATCACCAAGCGGAAAGTGAATGCGTCAAGCATGAACCAAGCTTTAAACTAACTTTGGCTCGTTTCTTGATTCGATCCTGAGGTTGTGGGGATATTTGAAGCCCCAACAGCTACTCTACAGTCTCCAGTTTTAGCCCTCCCACTGTCTTTATGGGTAACCCCGTGAGGAAAGTTGACCATTGAGCAGGATTGATGGTTTGCCCCTTCAGGACCACGTGGCAGGGGGGAGGTGGTGCTCACTCCTCACCCCTGCCACATGGACTCAAGGGATAAACCATCAACACTGCTCAATGGTCAACTTTCTTCACGGGGTCACACCCATTAGGACAGTGGGAGGGTTAAACAGCAGTAAAGTGAAGACGTCTTTGAAATATAAAATGTACAAAATTATGTTTATTTTACTTCTCAAGTGTGCCAAACTCAGGGAAATCCATCACCAGGTTCATTTTAGAATGTCAGTATTTACCTGATTCAGGACCAGGGGCCTCCATCACCCTGTTGGACCCACTTTTGAAGTCGAAGGTGTTTGGTAGGACGCTGAACTTCAAGACGATGTTTTCCTTGAGTGGCGTGGTGGGAACATCTCTATCTTGCTTCTTGTCCAGATCCTTATTTGCAGGCTGGCACAACGTAACACCGTATCGCTCCCTCTTCCTCTTCTTCAGACTGAGTGAGCCCTTATGTTTCTTGACCGATACAGAGCGCTGCTTCTCTTTTGAATCCTCTGTAGATCCAGACACATGTAGACGTTTTTGTCTTTTCAATTTGTTTTTGCGTCCATTTTTAACGGAACCATTCAGAGTTGGCATACTATTCCACCATCCTTGATATAAACCCTGTTTAACCGTGTTGTTTCCTGTGAGACCAGATTCTGTGGGTTTCCTCGTCGATGTGTCCAGTTTAAAAGACAGAATCTCTGGTGGTTCAAGATTTGAAGAACCACCTGTTGAAGTTGGACTCATTTGGTTTTTAAACAGAACACCATTCTTTCTTTTTCTTGAGCCAAACAGTGCCAACTTCACAGTTTTGGTTTCGGAGGCTTTAAGGACGTCCAACAGGAGCGGACTAGTTGGAAGTTTGGGTTTCTTTGGTGTACTTAGGTCTGGGGAAAACGGGTCAAGACTGCTCTGTTTTTTCTGTCTTTCTTCATTTGTTTTTTCTCTGACATGAAGGCTTGATGATGTTGGATTGGTAATCTGAGTTTGTCCTTCGTTTTCTAAACATGACTCTGCCTCCTCTGCTTGTTCACAGTTTTCTTCATGTTCTGACATCTGTAGAGTATCTTCAGTTTCACTGCTGTGAAGTTCCATGGGTTCATTCTGTGTGGAACTACTGGCTGAAGAAGCAGACTGAGTGGCTTCTGTGGATTTGACCTCTCCTTTTAAAGTCTCATCTTCTGATTGGGTTATGGCAATTGCAGGGTTTACATTCTCACTAACACTTTCAGGTTCTTCAGGGATAAAATCTGTATTCTCTACATCACTCGAGCTGACAATGTTCAACCAACTGTTGTCAGTCATCTCTGATGCTTGATCAGAATTTGAGTAGAGGTCGTCATCCACGTTAGTCAGGTCAATGATTTTATCGATTTTAAAGCAGTGCTCTGGGGAACTTAGTGTTATAGGTTCATTGTCTGTGTTTTCTGAAGAGTTCTCTAGATCAGGTTTGACAACACTTTCATTGCAACTCTGTTTTTCTTTGCACGTGCATCTAAGAGATGATGAAGCAACTGGTGAATGCATTTCTATGAACTTTGCAAAGCAGCAAATGACTTGAATTTGCTCCAGTTTGTTCTTCATGTTTGATTCTGCTGCACCATCTAAGTCGTTGGATATCTTTGGTTGCAATGAACCCCTCACTTTCATCACATCCTCAAAATCAAGGTTTTGATGAACCGGATTTTGAACTTTTTCATAGATCGCTCTGGCTTCTTCTGGAGGCAAAACATCCAACTTAAATGAGTAATTTGAGTCACAGGAAGTATCTTCTGATGAGGGGGATGCAACAGGAGAGGCTTCTTCATCGTCATCAGTTAGATCAACTGATGCAGACACTAGGTGCGATGAAACTTTGTTCTGCACCTCATGTGCAACTAGTTCGGAAATATCGTCAGCTGTATTCATCTGGCTGCAAGTCTCATGCACATAATGATGCTGCATCAAAGTCCAAGGGAAGCCAAATTCTTTGTCAATGTCATCCAACTGATCGTTGACATTCAACCACAACGATTTATACAGCTGCTCTGAATACACTTCATCATCTTTAAGCACGTGGTATTGTTTGAGGTTTTCCTTATAAGCAGGATGAATTTGTGATAGTATGACACGCTGTTTTGGGATATGTTTGCATACGAGCTCAACACGAGAAGCATACTTTGATCCTACAAAATCCATGTATTTTTTGTCTAATGTTTTAATGTCTAAATTCCAAAATGTGTTTAGTATTTGGTCTATGACTGAATGCTTTGCATCTTCTCTTGGCTTGACTTGAGCTTTTTCCGTTTCTAACAATAAATTATCTAGAGAATCCATTGTCCAGGTTACAGTTGGGATGGAAGAAAGTTCTAAGACAGGTGGTGATGGAGGTTTAGTTACTTCATTTTGTTCCTCAGGACGGGTTTGACTCGGTAGTATATCTGAACATTTCAGTGTAGGTGGTCCAAGACCGTCCTGCTCAGAACCTTGAGAGAAGCTAGGTCTTTCAGAGACTGAGACTGTTACAACAGCACCATCCCCTGCCGCTGTGTTGTTGACTGTCACTGGATTTGGATCTTCTTGGTCCACATTAGACTTCTCTACAAATGCAACCTCTTTTTCCACTTCAGGTGTAATGCGCTCATTGTCTGTGATATTTTTAGAATCACAAGTTGGAGTATAAGAGGAGGCACGTCTATCCTCCTGTGACAATGGTGGCACAACAGCAACAGCCCTGGTAGCAGAGTGAGCTGGCACTGGCGGAGCAGAGTCTTCTGCAGGTTGGACATTTGGAGAATATCCAAGTATTTTTATTAGATTTGGACATCGTTTCATGAATGCATCAACTTTATTTATCCTCACTGAGCTTTTCTCTGATGGACCCTCATTTTGGAATCCTGCTGGACAACATTTCGAGACCATATCATTGCCAGGGACTGAAACATCGACTGGCTTCTCTCTCTCTTTCACCCCTGCTGCTGTGTTCATGGTGAAACCCACCGGTAAAGTGTTTTGCTGAAGAGGATTTACAGTAAGCGTTCCTCTTGGCATTGCACCTTGAGGTAAAGTTTGCACAGAATGGAGTGATAGAGGTTGGGTAGCACTCAAGTTACAACTTCGAGAGCCAGCCGAGGTCACAGGTTGCATAGTTTGATTGAATTGTCTGGATTTATTACTGAAACAATGGCTTTCATAAGAAGGTAGAAGCTGCTGTTGTGCCTTATAATCTATGGGATGTTTGATGAATTTTCTCGAAGAAGGGTTCTGAGTATACTGAGTGTTTACATTTGTATTTCTGGAGTTGGTGGGACCTTCAAGGGTGTAATAGGATGAGTTTGGTTGAGTTCTTGCTTGTTGAGAATTCTCACTTGTGTTGGGAAAGTTCTGAACCAGTGTAATCGATGAGGATTGCAGTGCAGAGTTGTAATGAGCCACTTGATATGTTTGGACATTTTGAGAGGCTGCAGACGTCAATGAGCCTGGCTTGACCATCTGTTGGTAGGGAAGTGAAGGAGCTGATGTTGCACATGGGGTAACATATCCGTTTGATGGTTGATGGTAACTGTGGGAAGACTGGTTTTGCTGGAGATGAGATGCATCCTGAATCCTTGATGTGGGCGCCTCATTCACTGCAGCTGTTTGATTCCAGTTGTGGAATGCTGATGTTGCATATGGGGTAACATACCTGGTTGAGGGTTGATGCAATATGTGTGAAGACTGGTTTTGTTGAAGATTAGATGAATTATTAATCCTTGATGTGGGCGCCTCATTCCCTGCAGCTGTTTGATTCCAGTGGTGGAACGTAGTGTTTGGGCAGGAATAACTCGCTAAACTCTGATTAGCATAGTTTGAATGAGAATATTGCAGAGTGAGAATCTGAGGTCCACAGGTTGGCGATGGAAAATAGTTAGAAGTGTTTGTCGGATTACCAGAAGGAATTCTGTTACAACCCTTCAAATTATTATTCAAAAAATTAGCTGACATATGAAGGCCTTCAGTACACTGCCAATTCGGCATTTGTCCGTTAGCAGAAACTACATTGTGAATGGAAATATTTGCGCTCTGTGGTTGCTGAATCCCCGAGTTTGCACTCATGTACTGATGCATGGTATTTGCAGACCAAGAACTTGATGCATTATGGGAGGAACGAGAAGCTGGTGGTGGGAGATATCCAGTATACTCAAGTTGCCCGTTTATCCGTTCAAAAGAATGCATCTGTGTCCCACGTTAATCCTTGTGAGAGGTCGATGAGATGTCCCTAAAGGAGGAGAATAAACACAAGTTAAAACATGTTGGTAATTTAAAGGCATACAATGCAATTTTTTCACATTTCCAAGTAATTTTCTTAAGCCAGTATGTGCTAAAATGGCCCTTTACAGGGTTAATGAAAAATCAATCAGACCCCACTGCCCCATGTGGCCAGAATACAGAACTTCCAACTACAGAGTTGACAGGCCGCAACATGTTAGGTCGCACTTTAGTTTGAAGCCCTTTTTAGAAAACACACCATACTAATAAATCAGCGTAAGACTGCCACCACTGTCTTATGAACACGCTATGGCGGCATGGCGCAGTGGGAATTTTGCAGCATTCATGCAGCCATGCTTGGTAGTAATACTGCTGCAACATATTAGGCTTTGGCGCAACAGGAGGTGTCATGATCACGTGGGGAGTTACTGCCGAGCTCTACCCAGCAACTACCGTATTTTTTTTTTATGGGGCGCACCGTGTTATAGGGCGCAGCTTCAGTTACGGGTGTCTTTCTGGTATTTAACACATACAAAAGGCGCACCGGGTTATAGGGCGCGGGCACGGTAAAACGTACTGGTAAAACAGCTGTGCGGGCTCGGGACTCGGAACATATCAGTGCAAACCAGACATTGTGAAAATTATAAACAGCCAAAAGCATGTTTCACTTTACTGGTCTAGTCCTGGTTCAGACCTGGTTTAGAGCGCACGTGCACTTCCTCATTGCGTGCGCTGACGGCTCGTGCTCTTCTTATGCGCTGATGCGCTGTGTTGAAGTTCAGAATGTGCTTACCGGCAGTTGGTGGATTTAACCACGTAAACTTTCCACATGAACAAAATCATCTGTGTGTTATTAATAGGCCTAAGAAAATAGTGTGTTTTGAATTGTGTTTTATTAAAAAAGGCAGCGGGAGCAAATATGAGTTTGGTTGTGCTTTATTTGAGTGCTATTAATTAATCATCAAATCCATCAAAGTCTTCATCTTCTGTATCTGATAAGAACAACTGGGCTAGAGTACAGTCAAACACGCCAGGTTCTCTCTCGTCACAGTCAGAGTCTGTCTCGTTGCCGTCCGTCTCCTCGTGAATGATGCCGGCTTTTGCAAAAGCCCGAACAACAGTACAAGTAGACACATTAGCCCAAGCATTTACAATCCATTCACAAATTGTGGCGTAACTCCACCAGGCCACCTGGCCACCTGGCTTTGTGCCCGCGGAAACACAGCTGCGTCTTCTTTACTTGTCGGAGTTCGTTTTCCAACTTCCTCCACTTGTGAACCATGGACTCATTAATGCTGAATTCTCTCGCCGCTGCTCTATTACCGTGTTTCTCCGCGTAGCTGATCGCTTGCAGTTTAAACTGTGCTTCATAGGCGTGTCTCTTAGCAGGTGCCATTCTCAGGGTTGTCAGAACAATGTTCAGCATACCTGCCCTTTTGAGCTATTCGGGGTCCGTCTTCGCTCACGTCAGCACTTTCACGCCACGCCCCTTGCCATTCTCGCCATGCCCCTCGTCTTCTACTACATTCACGTCTCACAACAACACAATAGGCGCACCGCGGCGTACATTTGAGAAAATTTAAGACTTTTAGGTGCGCCTTATGGTCGTGAAAATACGGTATATTGAAAATTAAAGTAAACACGGGCCATAAGTTTCACTTTTGTAAACAGAACCAGCTGAGATGATAAACTGGAGTGATGTAGAGCTGCAGGAGCTTCTGCATGAGCTTCTCTCCGTTAGAGCTGGGGGTCAGATCACCAGAGACTGCACGGGGGCTGTGGAGGCCTGACACCTTTAAAGACCCACAGTCATGATCACGCACTGGTGAAATTCATCTACGCATTTGACCCATCCCTATGGAGGGCAGCGGTAAGCTGCAGCTGCGCTCGGGAACCATTTGGTCTCACCCCCAATCTTAACCCCTTAAAGCTGAGTGTCAAGCACGGAGGTATTGGGTCCCATTTTTTAAGTCTTTGGTAGGACCCGACTGGGATTTGAACCCCGATCTCCCAGTCCTAAGGTGGCCACTGAGCTGGTTGGTTAAAGAGCTGGGGCCTCATTTATCAAGCTTGCTTACGCACAAACAGGGTATCTGCAGGTGTAAGGGAGCCAAATTTAAAATTTTTTAAGAGCTTTTTTAAGGCTACTTTGACCAAATTTAAGCTATAATTTCCAGCTGTTGCCTGGAACATGTGCTAACCACGTAGCGAATGTGGGATTAGCCATCCAGTTACCATTAAACTTCCACTTCCCCATGGCGCAATCTCCCGCTAGCTAAACCAGCTAATGTGCTCATCTAAAAATAGTCCCCTTTCACAACCAACTGAATGTGTACGGTTCCGCTTACGCCAACATCATACACAAAAAAAGCTGAACACTAATCAGAAATTTACGAAAATTTTATAGAAATCAAAGAATCTTGTTTATTGGGTCTTTGGTAATTTAAGGCCTTTGGAAACTGTATTTAAGGATTATTTGTCATTTTTACGGATTTTTAGGGCCTTAAATTTGGAAAAGCAAATTTAAGACTTTGACTTTTTAAGGACCCGTGGATACCCTGACAAAACGGGGTCGGAAAACTACGTAAGCAACTTTCCACGCAAACTTTGGGATTTATGAAAGAAAACTTAGCAGAAAAATGTGCGCAACTTTAAGTTGACTAAGGACCTCGCTTACACACATTTTGGACATGGAGAGCACCTGCAGTTCTGCTGCTGAGAAGGATAAAATCCTGCAGCATTATCACTTGTACTGCTTCGTTTTCACACAGAACAAGACCCCCACACCCACACATGCGCGCTCACACTCACACACACATGCGCACGCGTGCGCACACACACAGCCTGAAGCGCAGAATACGAAATGCACAAAATCAGCAGGGGGACAGATTGAGACAGAATGTCATCCGTCTGTGACAGTGTGTCCTGTCACTGTGACCCAATTAATCATGCGCCCTGGCTACTTGGACGAGGGAGAGCTCTGTTTGGCTGACTGGTTAGCACGCGTGACTTTCACCTGGGAGTGTGGGGATCGAATCCTTATCAGATCTTTATTTTTTATTTTTTATATCTGCCACAGATCTCTCTGAAGAACTCAGCATTGACAGCTTCAGCAACGCTGTGCCACTCTGGATTTTCTCTTGTTTGTTTTGCAAAAGCACTTCCTTTCATTTCTCCACCTCACCCACAAGTACCTCAATTTCTGCTTGTGAAATAGCACTTCCTCGATCTGCGGTCGTGATCAAAATTTTGCAACAAGCCGGCTTATGTAAATGCATGAGATCCACAAGGCACTTTGCATTGACTATTTATGGCAGTAAGTGGGCATGGTGAGGGCGGGATGTGACTAAAAAGCAGCTGAGAACCTTTCTAGAAAGTTTCTGATTTATGAAGCGGAGATTGCGTGCAGCTGTGCATACTCCATGTTTGATAGATCACAAACCTACTTGGCATGAGTAAATTTTTTTTTTTGCTGAGCTCATGTACGGTTTTAGTAAGGATTCTACGCAATGTTTGATAAATGAGACCCCAGCTTGTTATAAAACTTTATGAGCACATCTTCGATCGCAATTAAAAGCAAGTTATGTCCAGGACAAACGGAGGTCCGCAGCAGGCAGCACAGAGACTACCCCCTTTATACCTCCATTGTGTAATCTTTTGTAAAAAAAATAAATAAAAATAAGGACAGAATTGCGCCACATCACCGCCATGGTCTGACCACTTTTAAACGACCAAACTCTCCCTGATGCCAGCTCAGCTTTGCGGCTAATTGTCAGCATTGTTTTCTAAAAGAGGCTTTAGTAATTTTGGAACTGACATGCCAGCACTGGAGTGTGCTTCTAGCACATTTTTGCTTTAGATAGGTTTGATTTGGTGATGAAACATTCCTGTAGGATCGAAGGAAGGCTGAGGAAACATTTCAGCATTTAGATTAAGATGTTAAAAAGACAAATGCACAGCAAGAAGTTAAGTTTCACTTTTGCTTTTACAACAGGGAATTACTAACAGACTCTAGGAGGCGCTAAAAGCAAGCTATTGCTGTATTGTTTCCCTTTAAGCACAGCCACAAAACTTTATTTTTAGGGACAGAGAGTCAAGTCTGGCTGACCAAAAATAAAATAAAACATGTGTTCAGAATAAGTTAAAGCTCCAATATGTAGGAATGAAATAAAAATTGCATCCTGTAGTCGAATCTGGTTACTGCAATCACTATCTCATTCCTGTGAAGAACTTTTTACAAGACATACCGTGCTGGTAAAAATCTGCGTAATTTTACAGCAAGGGTGTGTCTTATAAACACGCCATATCAGCATGGCGTTGCACAATTTTTGTGACATTCGTTCCGCCTCGCTTGGTAGCAATATTGCGGTAATTGTCTGTGTCATGAATGGGTATTGCACCTTGGCGCAACAGAGGGAGGTCCCATGGTGAAAATGAAAGTAAACACGGGCCGTAAATTTTGCTTTATGAAATCAGCCGAGACGGGCAAACTGGAGCACTACAGCACTCCAGGAGCTTCTGTCCGTTAGAGCTGACGCTCAGATCAGCAGAGACTGCACGGGAACTGTGGGGGACAGACACCTTAAAAAGCGGCTTATTAAAAAACTTTGATCACGGCTTCAAACGCAATAAGAAGTGAAGGAAAAGATTAAATGTTTGATTTATGCATGCTTATATTGCTAAGGTTTCAGCTCATGCATGAGGAGTCACATGCTATGTGAAGGCCAGGTACAGATTAAAAGCTGTTGAAAGTAAACAGACCAGATCTTAGGTCATCGCAGCCTTAGCAGAAGGAGATAGGACTGGAAGCAGATGAGGCAAAGTGACTCCCATCTTATCTAGAAGAGTTAGTCAAAACAAAGAGGACTGTCAGTTACCAAAGCAACAGGTGATGTCCTTCAATAAGGTTTAAGTAGGTGCCAGGAGGAGACTTTTGCAGCAGGATAAGAGAATAAAAGCTGTGCATTTTGAAAGAACAAATCTGATTTGTCACAGGGACTGGGAGGGGAC